CTTACTCATGAACAGCCATTTTGACTCGAAACCTGGCAGTCCAGGTAGGTAAATCGAGATTGAGTGTGGGGGCGATGAATATGAGTCTGCTTATTTGAAAAATTTATACATAGGTGCTGGCGATGATGGCACTATGGTTGTTATATTGCTCGAGACTCTGCGCGTGCTCGCCACCACTCGTCAAACTTTCACACATCCAATTGTATTTCTATTCAATGGCGCCGAAGAGAATCCTTTGCAGGCCTCACACGGTTTTGTTACTCAACACGAATGGGCTAAAAATTGCAAGTAGGTGTGGGGATTTGCGGATCTTATGAAAATTGTATTTGACAATATATACTATATACATTCTTTTGCATTATTAAATATTAGAGCGGTCATTAACTTGGATTCAGCAGGTAGCGGTGGTCGCGAACTTCTTTTTCAATCCGGACCCAATCACTCATGGTTAATGAAAGTAAGTGGCTGTTTGTAGTAGCAAGAAATTCATGAACGTGTCATTTCGTTATGGGCTTTGGTGTAACTTACATACCTATATACATACATAATTCCCAAACCTCGCGCTCACTCACTCACTCACTCGCTCGCTCGTTCGCTTACCTAGAAACCCAATCGTCCTTCCAAAGTCTTCTTCTGATGTCCTAATACACATTACCCATTCGCTTACATGTTCATGCATGTTATCGTTATAGCATAATTGTAAATCTTTTCGTCTTTGGTAAAAGGAATGCCCCTTCGCATTTTTCCATCGTTTATTTTCCTAAGAGTTAAGACCAAATGTTTGAATAGATTAGATAAAGTTAAATTATTTTCAACTATTTGAGAGTGTGAATTGATTGTACATGCGATTTGTTCATACGAGTACTCAATTGAATGACAATTAATTAGATTTTGATTTGATCGTAAACACCTATTAGGGCTGTATATAATGGTCTATATCTCAAAAGATATCCGAAAGGTCCCAGCCATGCTTTTGACTAGATTCTGTAAAACTGACGGATAAAGGAACACATTATATATTTACATAAGGGTGCATCACTCTGTATACGAAAAAACGGGTATATACTATTTTCCCATATGCATAAAAATAGTTAAAAAAAATTTAGCAAAGATATTTTTTTAAGATATTTTCAAACTGATCTAGCTCACGTAAATCTTACTAATTTTCCGAAATATTGTAACTGAAGTCTTAAAATATAATAAATTGTGTAATTCCGATGGAAACCGCAACTTGTTTTGGTAAGGCACCCTAATATGCATACATATGTTTATTAGAAAGTTTGAAATCAACAAAATCCTTCCTCATTTGTACTCTCTTCCTCCTCCGCACTAGGTTTTGGAACGAGATACATTCAATAATTGCTTACAGTACTCTGGTAATGAAATTTGTTTATGAAATTTGTGGTAACCAGAGTAGATATCTACACGACTCTTATTAGCTCCGCAGCCTCTTCTATTAATGGTACCACTATTCATCTCCAAACCTTAGTAAGTTGTGAAAACTGACATTTTCGAACGCTTTACTTTAATTTACAGATCTACCGTAATACTGCTAAACGCTCATTTGCGACAACATTCGCAGAAGAAATATTCCAATCTGGCATTATACCTTCGGATTCAGACTTTAGAATTTTCAAAAATTTCGGACATATACCGGGTACGTACACACATAAGTATGACATAGTTACAAAAGGCATTAGTGAGAGTTTTAAGGATATATATGTAGATTGAAAAAAATTATGAATCAGTAAAAAGAAATTATTCCCCAAAAACTTGTATAGGCTTGGATATTGCACATTTTAAAAATGGCTATGTATACCACACGAAATTCGATAGGATTGATGTTATACCACGTGGAACGCTACAACGTACTGGCGATAATATATTGGCACTGGCGCGAGCTTTCAGCAATTCTACAGAATTAAAAGATCCAGAGGTAAGTGAAAAAGTAAACCTTCTTACAGTGAATAGATCTTAAGCCTTCAG